CTCGCCTGGAGCCTCTCCTGTAGCCGCGGCGGGGTGGATGGTACACTCCGTTGCCCTTTCCCCTCCCCTCGTCCCCTTCCGGGTCAGCGCAGCTGAGGCGGTCGCTGGTGTCCCCCTTCCCCTCCCCTACGGCCTGAGGGCCTCGCGGGTTGGCCGCCGGGTAGGTGCGAGCCGGGCGTGTTCCCGCCAGGTCTCCCGTGAGTTCCGGTCGGCGCGGCGCGGCCCGGGCGGGGAGGGGGGCGATCTCTGTTCCACTTCACGCGGCCTGCGCTGCCGGGCCGGATCGGGTCCGTGGCCTGCAGTGAAGCCTCCGCCGTGGTCGCGGGCCTGGCGCCAAAGGGCGGGCTGGCGGGGCTAAGGCGGCCCGGGGAGGGGACGCGGGTCGCGCCCCGCTGCGCTAACAGCTCTGCGCTTCCCCCGCAGCGGTCGTGTGAGCGGCGCCGCGACCATGACGTCCATCATCAAGCTGACCACCCTGTCCGGGGTGCAGGAGGAGTCCGCGCTCTGCTACCTGCTGCAGGTCGACGAGTTCCGCTTCCTCCTGGACTGCGGCTGGGACGAGAACTTCTCAATGGACATCATCGACTCCCTCAGGAAGTAAGTGCTTGTCGTCGGGGCGGCTGCATCCCGTGTTTAGCCCCCGCCTGTGAGGACCCTGCAGGAGCGCTCACCTCTGTCCGTGCCGCAAGGTTGAGTTGAAACATGGAAAAGCCTCGTGGGAGGATTGTTGTTGTGGGTTTGTTTTCTGCATTGGCTCCGCACTTTAGACTGATGCAATTACATGGGGTCCTAAAATTAGAAACATCCCTTTTAATGTCCTACAGAGCATCTTGAGGAGTAAAACTGTTTCTGAGAGTCATGGGGAACAAGGTGCCCCTTTAATTGAAAAAGGTAGCCTTGTTACTGAAAAAGGTGCTTACCTGCACTCTCCAACTATTTAGTTGGTCTAATAAAAGATATCGTATTTACCCAAAGAGTTGTATCTGACTTAGAGTCTCATCTAGGAAGAGCACACACCAACTGCAGAAACTTCCTCAGCCTGATGAAGGGTTTTTAAACTCGAAAGTTTGCTTAAATTTTTTCCCCCCAACTATTTAAGTTGGTCTAATAAAAGAGGCAAGGGTCTAGGGGTGAACCTGATATATCTGTGTCCTTAGACCAACGCGCTACAACCTACACCCGTTACTTTGCGTCTGCATATTATCTGCACTGAATGTAAGTGGTGTTCGTTAGGATGAAGCAGACAGTGAAGTGGCATTAACAGCCTGAAAATAACTATCTCGCGCTCTTCTGAAGGCCTCTGATAGCAGCCCTTTGACAGCTGGTTGCCCTTTTCACTGTTTTTAGGAGTATGTTTGCTTACAAAGTAGACTGTTACACTCATTCATTGCGTATCAACGGTAAGTAAGTACAATATAAACACTGAGGTTGAATGAACTTATGTACAAAGTGGTTAATACACTTGACTAATAGGCTGATGATGACCTATGTTTGCTACTCAGTGAGTAATGCAACAAATTGGGACTGCTTTTTGCTATGTAGTTAAGTGACTTACGCACTGATGTGTTTACCTGCAATGCTTTGCTGTTACTATTTCAGCTATTTATTTATTTTTATTCACAACATTTGGGCATTTTACAGCAAATAGCTCAAAGAACCAAACTTTTCCAATATGTAATACATTAACTTACTGTTTATAAATAATTTAATGTGATTTGTTCTGCCTGTTTTTTTTAATTCTAAGTCTAGGACTTGATTCCACAGTGTTAGTTTAAATGGCATTACTTGTCACTGGGTCCATTCCCTTCAGCTTACTTTTCACTATTAGAAATGAAATATTTTTAATGCCATTATCTTGTATGAAAAGCTCAGTTTAATTAGTCAGTATATTTAGCTTTCTCATAGGAACATAGCACATGAAGGGATTTCTTTCACTGAGTCTAATTCCCTGGTGTTGCAGAAAATTGCATCACGTAAGACCTTCCATAAACAGTTTTCTTCCATGATTATTTGTATTAAAATTAAAAACTGTAAGTAAGTATGTCCACTGAGAAGGAAAAGTAAATATTATATTAACATGTAAGTTAGCGCTGTACTTTTAAAAACGTGTGTATTTTGGAGCCAACCAATCTTTCATGAATAGTTAAATTGTTAAAATTTTAAACTAGGTTTGTGAAATTCAAAGTCTATTATGTATTAGATTTCTCATAAGAGTCTGAATTCAACCTGTTTCAATTTGGAAATATACTTTTATTAATTCTTACCTGGCTACTTATTCCTATGAGCTGGGAATATATCAAATTAAGAATTTGGAATCTTTTGAATATGTTGCTTTTTGTAATTTAGAAATTAAAATGTAAATTTTCATTTTAACAAAGGGAACCTTTTTTTTTCTATTTACATTGTGCACTTAAATTTTTGCTGTAAAAATGGAGCTGTCATACACAATATTGAATACTATGTACAGAGCACTTTCTATTCAATAACTCGTTTCATTTGTTCTTTTCTCCTAGACACGTACACCAAGTTGATGCAGTGCTACTTTCTCACCCCGATCCTCTACATCTTGGTGCTCTTCCATATGCAGTTGGGAAGATGGGTTTAAATTGTGCTATCTATGCAACTATTCCTGTATATAAAATGGGCCAGATGTTTATGTATGATCTCTATCAGGTATGTCTGATTAGATATGGTCATTTAAAACAAAAAAAAAACTTTGAAAGCACTTCTTATAAGCGATGTAAATGTCATTTTTAAATTATCTGTTTAATCTCACCCAATTATATCAGTTAAACAATGAATCTATGACACAACTGCTGCTGGGAGTTACAAGGTGGGAGGAGGTGGTGGCAAGTCCTCCCAGGCAACACAGCTCACCTTAAGCCCTGGGCTTCTGCAGCAGGGGAGTGGCTTTCCCAGTCTGCTGCCCTAGCTGGCCTGCTGGGAGGAAGGAGCACCTGTGAATGAGCAGAAAAATGCTTAATTGACAGTCATTAGGCCACCACTATTTTCTTTAACCTCATAGGCTGTGGGTACTATTTTGTTCCCTCCTGCCTGCCCAGCCACCTTCCTGTTAGTGAGGTGCCATGCCACCTCAATTCCCTTCTTCCTGGGACTGTGCCCTGCGCTAAACATTAACTGGTAATGCATTACTGGTATAAATATACTTATTGTTTAAACATTTAACCTTTTGCATCACCAATTTTTAGGCTTTTTGAATACATTTTTCTCTTTTCCTTTCATGCTAGTCTCGCCACAATACAGAAGATTTCACCCTCTTTACACTGGATGATGTAGATGCAGCCTTTGATAAAATTCAGCAACTAAAGTTCTCTCAGATAGTGAACTTGAAAGGTGAAACTATTATTCCTCTGAACAAAACTTGCATTAATTGACTTGTATTTTTAATAGCCTTCTTATGTATTCAGCGGGGGAGCTGTAGCCGGGTGGCTACTGGCCCAGTGTGTGGGGCTCCAGCTCCCAGCTAACCTCTGCCCAGTGCAGTGAGCAGTCACCTGCAGGCAGCCTGGAGCTGGAGCCCTGTGTGCATGGTCTGGATCCAATTAGTTGGTGGGGCCAGATCCAGCCCGTGGGCCATATTTTGCCCACCCCTGAGTTAGATCTTCTTTGCTCTTGGAAAGTGAACCTCTAGTACCTCAAATAGGTAGATACTCAGACGATGTGAATTATCTTGGCTTTGTTAATTTTGAAGAAATCTTGCTAATCCGCCCGCCCCGTGGTTACATCTTGGGGTTAGGGTTAAGGGGAAATGTGCAAAACTCTCAATGCAGTTGTTAGCTGGTAACGGAAAGCAACATTGTTAGCAACTGCTTATATATTTTCATCAAATTACAAGGAGAAGCAAAAACAGGTAAGGAGGCTGTACTGGAGATGCATGTGGATCTAGAGGCCTCTGCTCAAATTATAGAGTCTGCATGGTTTAAGACAGTGGAGACCAGAGTTTCTGGCAGGCATGTCACAAATTAAACCCTGCACCCTCCCCAAGTGCCAATCCAATCCCCTTTCCCTGTCTGATCTGCTTAGCTTTTTGCTCCCTGCCCTGTCTGCCACATCATTCCCTGCTCCCTCCCCAATCTGCATGCCACATGCAGGTTGCCTACTTGTGGCATGTGTGCTGCAGTTTGGCCATCCCTGGTTTAAGGCATTAACTCTTTTATGGGGACCAGATTAGATCCTGCCTGTGCTTCACAGTCTTTGTTTACTAACTGGTTTAGTGAACAACTGTTTATAACTGAGTTCCCTGATCCTTGTAATAGTTTGTAAAAAATAGGGCTGGTGGAAGGGACAATAAGAGTTCAGGTAATCCTTCCCTCTACCCAAGGCAGTAGAAAGCTGTACCTGAACCTTTGCCGACAGTTGTTTGTTTAACCTGTTCTTAGAAGCCTTCAATGTCAGAGATTCCACAACCTTCCTAGATAATCTATTTGCAACTGCAAAACTAGTTAATCACTAGAAGTTCTTATTAATATCTAAATATTGCTCATAATTTAAGTCCATCACTTCATATCTTATCTACAGTGGCCTTGGAGAACAGTTTATAACCTTCCTGCTTACAGTAAATCTTTTTCATATTTGAGGACTTTTAGTATTTTTCTTTCTCAGTCTTTTCTTTCCTAGACTAAACAAATCCAGGCTTTTCAGCCTTTCCTCCTAGGTCAGATTTTCTACTCCTCTAATAATTTTTGTTGTTCTCCCCTGCACTCTGGTTAAGCTGGTCCATAGCTGAAGCATAGTGCCCAAAACTGTACACAGTACTGCAGTGTAAACTGTAACAGTGCTAGCTATATTTTATATAAATTACGTATTTCCATGCAAATCAGTGCAATATTACTTAGCGTAGCACATAACAAATTCACTTGCTGGTATCCTTCACATGAAGGTAGCGTTTGTCCAGATATTCAAGCTTCTTCCAGTCTGTGAAATCGTGTGCTCTTGTGCATCTTCCCAGATATCTCACTGACCAGTTAAGAATAATTAACTTAGCGGTGCTGCTCAGTGTGCCAGCTCAGAGATCACTCCAGTGTACTTTCATGTGTGTTATTGAGAAAAAGTGTTGCTCATGTTAATGTGCATTGTTTCCCTGTCTTATGTTCCTTCTGTTTTTAGGGGCATTGTAGTAACTCTTCAGGAACAACTTTAGTCTGAGATCAGCATTACTTTCTCTGTTCTCCTCTTTCTGGGAGGGAGTGAGAAGTGGTGAAGAGAATTGCCAGTGTCAGGGAACACAAGAACATATTGCATTCGTTAGTGACATAGGCGGGATTGCTAACTTCTGATCTCCTTGATATGGTTTTTTGATTAGCAGCTTGGTCTTTGTGGCTTGTTTCAAACTGCCTTGTGGTTGGGACAATCGATTTGTAATAGATCTGATATATCTAAAATATTGAGAGAGAACTAAATTACTTTTTCTGTAGGCAAAGGTCATGGTCTGTCCATCACACCATTGCCAGCTGGCCACATGATAGGAGGAACCATTTGGAAGATTGTCAAAGATGGAGAAGAGGAAATTGTTTATGCTGTTGACTTCAACCACAAGAGGGAGATGTATGTACACCACATTTAAAAAATGCCTATTAGTATTGCTATATATCCTTGTAACATCTAGTAAATATTTCTGGATCCAATCTTGCCTTGGAGTGCACATTGAGACTGAAAACTTCAAAAATCCAGTGCTGTAGCCGGCAGCAATATTAGTTCTTAGAGGAGAAATATTCTATCATCTTGCTTCTTTTCTTCCCTAGTAATTTCGTGAGAAGGAGAGTGAGACATAATGGCCACTCTGTGTTGCTTTCAGGACCACAGCTTACAAGCATGCTTTGCCGTGTTGTGTATACTCAGTGTTCAACAAGCTTTGGAAAAAAAAAGAAGTGTAGGTGCCTTAAAGTGGCCCCAGGCATGTGCCAAAAATATGTCTGAGATGGAACAACGCTTGAGTGCACACTACAGCTCTGCCTGCAGGTTCTCTAAGCTGGCTGTACTGCCTTACTTGCTGCATTCTGAATGGGGGGAGTGGGCAAGGTGTGCTTCTCCTTGGTGCTCCTAGGCAAAATTAAATACTATGGAGGCAAAGTAAACAAACCAGGGAGAGAGAACTTTCCTTTCTAAAAGAGAGAGAGAGCATTTTGGACTTCAAGTTGTAATCAAAATTGTAGAAGTTGTGAGGTGGGAGCAGATGTAAAAACAGGTCATAGTTTTATTATTAGGTTCAAAATACACTTTAAATGCTGCAGTTTCCTGTACTTCTGGAAGAGCTGGCACTTTATATCTGATGCAGTGTCCATTTTTTTCCTTTGTTCAGAATATTGTTACAGGCCAATTTTTGCTTTAAGGTGAATTACAGCTGATTTTGTAAAATAATTGAAAAAAAATAAGTCAGATGGGACAGACCTAATGTTTAAAAAAGAAAAGGTAAAATACCTGACAGTGTGATGCTTGAATTATTGCAAAGGAAACAATTATTGTATTTTATTTTACTTAGGGTGTGTTAAGCACCTTCTAAAGGTTAAAGAAAGCTAAATTCCCTCTTTATCCATTTAAAAAAAAGCAACGTAAAGAGCAGTTGTACACAAAAAACCCCCTGAAAGTAAGAAATTTGTTAATATATGTATCAGACTTTGCTTAAGACAAATACAAAACAGAGTTTAGGATGTAGTGAGGAGGCTTTAAGGAAAGAAAAGGCATGATTAGTAGAAAATTAAAGTAAATTGGAACTGCCAATCTTTTGGATAAGACTAAACAAAAATGCTTTTCCTAAATCCAAAGTAAATGCATAGCTATGAGTAAGAACATAGTCTCTTTGTGTTCTGATACATTATTTGCTTAAGAAATAGCCCTCTTTTCTTGAACTGAAAAGCCTTTTCCTAGGGCAGTTGGGTCAACCTTTTGGATGGGCATACTACAGAACAGGCATACTACTTCCCAGGGTACCACTCTACTTTCTGTTCCCTACCCAATCTGCTGCTTTGCTTTGTGCTCCCTGCCCAATTAACTGCATGCCACGCAAGCTGCCTGTGCCACTTGTGGCACCCATGCAGTAGGTTGGTCAGCCCTGCTTTAGGGAGTATTGTTTCCTAAAAAAAGATTAAATTAGTTTGCTAGCTAAAAAGGAATACTGTTTCTGTAAGTTGACAACTAGGTTTTATAGTTCTTGCCTTTTCTTTGTCAAAAGAAATGTGAAAACTGAAGTTGCATGGCCTGACTTTCTTTCCTCAGACATCTGAATGGTTGCTCCCTGGAGATGTTGAGTAGGCCTTCACTGCTTATCACGGACTCCTTTAATGCTACATATGTACAACCCAGACGGAAGCAAAGAGATGAACAATTGCTAAGTAAGTATTTGTCTAATTAGTTAAAGCTGTAGTAATGCAAAATCCCTCTTTAATTGTTATAATTCTCTGCTATCTTCCTACAACCAATGTAACAGACAAGAAAACTTCACTTAGTGAAGTTTCTGTAGTTTTCTTTAGAGTTTGACTTTTTTAGTTTTTCTTTTCGACAGTGTTGATGTTACGGATTATGACCGCCCCCCAGCCACTGTCCAGAAAAAAGTGATTGAGTTACATTTATGACTGCACCCAGAGACTATTTGTCTAATCAACCTGGGATTTTCTGTTCTTGAGAGAACTTCTTTACATAAAAAAATTCTATTTGATTTAAGGGAGAATTGCATATAATTTACATCATAAAACATTTCATATTTGCCCAGAGTACAACTAATTCTCATTGACTTCAATAGAAATTTTGTTTCCACGTCTCTTTAATATTTTAGTTTTTCAGTGCTGCTAGTTTTCAGTCAGTCTCTGAGTTAGTCTTCCTTTCATTTGGTATAATAAGTTAAAACAAAAAACCCCACAAACCTCTTGTCTTGAATATGGTTCAAAGTGCAAATACTTTGACTTCTAATCTGTTTTGTATTATTCCTCTCTCCTAGCTAATGTCTTGGAAACATTGCGGGGTGATGGAAACGTGCTAATAGCTGTGGATACAGCTGGCAGAGTTCTGGAACTTGCCCAACTTCTTGATCAGATTTGGAGAACAAAAGATGCAGGATTAGGAGTTTACTCTCTAGCACTTTTGAATAATGTCAGCTATAATGTAGTGGAGTTTTCTAAATCACAGGTTTGTTTTGTTCTCAAACTGTAATTTTGAAAGGGGTAATTATGGCATTTTTCATCTTGTTACTTGATTACAGGAGGTTAATCTAGGACCATGTAATTTTGTCTTTTTTTTTTTTCCTATGTTTTCTGTGTTGGTTTTAACCAGAAGAGAACTTGAAAATTGTCACGGTGTGGTCATTAGTCTGTCTCATTTCTACTATAAAATCAGGTTTCGTGACCTAAATTTCTACCCCACAAGTCACCTAGAATTGGTGTGTGACTACTAGCATGATTCTTGTTAAGATAGGAGTTTACATTTACTTAGCATGATGTGACATGTTAACCTAAGCTGCAGGTGCTTAAAATGGAATTTTTTAAACATTTAATTTGTATGCCGGCCCAGCTGCTTGGTTTCAAGATTGCATAAAGAGATATTGATACAGGGACCATGTGCACGCCTGTGTGCACAGATGCAGTTTACACCTACGTATAAATGTTGTTCTAATGTTACCAAGTATAGAGAGAGTTTTTACATACATTTTAGTTATCAAACCATGTATAAATCCAGTAAATATAACTTTTTTTTCTTTTCTTTTCTCCCTTTCAACATACCCCTAGGTTGAATGGATGAGTGACAAATTGATGAGATGTTTTGAAGACAAGAGAAATAATCCGTTCCAGTTCCGTCATCTCTCTTTATGTCATAGTCTTTCTGATCTGGCTCGAGTGCCAAGTCCAAAAGTCGTGCTTGCTAGCCAACCTGATCTGGAATGTGGGTTTTCAAGAGATCTCTTTATCCAATGGTGTCAGGATTCCAAAAACTCGATCATTTTAACTTACAGAACAACTCCAGGGACACTAGCACGATTCTTGATAGATAATCCTTCTGAAAAAGTTATAGATATTGAGGTAAGAAATGTGCTTGTGACCCAAGTTACTGAGTGGGGTAGTATGTGAAAGGTCTATCTTGTTTTATTTATTTATTTTTAACATGCCTTAGAAAACTTTTTTTTTCTAATTTGTAGAAGGAAAACTGAAGTCAGTTGTAATATGGACAGTAGTTTGACATGTCAAGAATTTTTTTACTTGAATGAACAAGAGTAGTAGAACTTGAGACTTTAAAATACATTAATTGAAAGGCAAGTTTAAGCAATTTATTGAGTAAGCGTGGAAAGTGCTTAACTCTTTCTGCTACCTCCCAGCACCCCGAGTTGCTGAATGTATGCAGTCCCCCTACAGAAAATAGGAAGTCTCGTTTCCCATGACCATTTAAATGGCAAGATAACGATAGCTTATTCAGTTGGAAAATTCATATGAGATGGGAAATCAAGTCAAGTGAGGTTATAAAATGTTAGAAAGACTATTTTGCTCTTTAATTTGAAGGCAAAAAAAATCAACTTGGAATCAAGTTAATATTAAGAGAGAAACTATTAAATGTAGTTTAATGTACCACACTTGCCTTGATTTTTTCCCACAAAATGTTATGAGTCGATGGGAGTGTGTATATGATCTGTAACTTTGAAGCTTTTCATTAGCAAGTCCCATGCTGATGTTAATTTTTCTTCTGTTGCAATAGACTGAAAGCATAGGATGATGCTTCACATGTTGTTGTTGTTGTTGTTGTTGTTATTGGAATTAAGGTATTTGCAGCAAGCTCTGCTCTGCTCTGTCTTTTCTGTGAAGCGAGGGCAAAATATGCCACTTGTTTCCGCAATATAATATTCACCATTGACATTCAGCTCTCCTTTGTAAGTGGCACAGGAAGGGAAAACAGACTACCAACACTAAATATTGGGGGACAAAGGGAAGTGAATTTTGTCCTTTTGGTTACGGGGGGGGGGGGGGGGGGTGTAATTCCCAGCACACTAAGTTCCTGAAAGAAATTACTTCTAGTTCAGGAGTCGTATAAAACCAGTCAACTAGTTTTAATATTTCCAGGATGATTATTTCATTGCTAAATACAATATTTATGTATAATTTACACTATTCACTACTCCTTAAGTTGGTGGGGATTTTAGTTCTCTTTCAAGCATAAGATGCTTCCACTCAACTTGAGAATGGGTGGGAAAATCCAGACTTAATCATTTTGGTACCATAATATTGAGTCTAAATGGGTAAAACATTTAATCATTGCATTAGAAAAGATTAGGCCGAATGGCAGCTTTTAATATTTTTTTTTCTTCTTTTTAGCTGAGGAAACGTGTTAAACTTGAAGGGAAGGAACTCGAGGAGTATCTAGAAAAGGAGAAGCTAAAGAAAGAAGCAGCTAAAAAATTAGAACAGTCCAAAGAGTAAGTGTATTGTATTTACTCAAATTGAAGACAAGTATCCCCCCTCCCATTTACATGGGGGGGGGACACGACAGGGGGCTTCATCTTGGATTCAAGTACCGGGGCTGGAAGCCATTGCCAGGGTTGCTCAAGGTGACACATACAGCAGGGAAGGGTTATATGTGGGGAAAACCATATGATATGGAGAGGGGAGGAGCATGGGGGAGGCTGATGTGGGGAAAGGAGCGGCTATGGCTGTGGCCCTAACTTGGCCAGGGGCGGCGGCGGCGGCTGCTGCTGCTGCTCTCTGGCCAGGGCCAGAGCCAGAGCTGGAGCCAGGGAGGGGACAGTGAGGGAGGGGCAGACACTGGAGTTGGGGGGGAAAGTGGCAGGGGGGCAGGTATGAGGTGTGGGGAGGCAAGTTTTGGTGATGGGGCAGGCTGCCTCCTCTGCTGCTACTTTCCCTGCTGCAGTGGTGGGGCAGATGGACTTAAGATGACCCTCCAATAATTAGATTCTTCACATGGAAGATTAAAACACCTATACATTTCCATGTATGGAATCTAATTATTAGGGTATCACAATAAATTTAAAGTAGTTCTGGATTTGGGTAAATACAGTATGTCATATTTAATGCAGTTTTCTTTTTAATGCAACCTTTGAGACCAATGTGATACCTCATTAGGTTAAGTTGTGACCATTCATTTATCAGCTATGGTTTATTCCTGGAGTTCCATTGTATTAGACTCCTTTCAGCCAATCTCTTTGATTCTACACTGAGAGCACCTTTGTGATAAATTGGTTAGTTCTCCAGATAAGCAATTTAAATGTCACTCTTCATGGATTACAAAGGAACACTGTGACATTTTGCTGACCATAACACTTGATGCTCATATCAAGCAATTACCTGATACATAAAGTAAATTTTCATTTACTATTTAATGTACATACATAAAATGACACTTAAGTTGATTTTTTTTTTCCTTTTCTTGATGACGTTTCAGGGCAGATATTGATTCCAGTGATGAAAGTGATGTTGAAGAGGATATTGATCAGCCATCTGTACATAAAACCAAACATGATTTGATGATGAAGGGTGAAGGTAGCCGGAAAGGAAGCTTCTTCAAACAGGCCAAGAAGTCCTATCCTATGTTTCCAGCCCCAGAAGAGAGAATTAAATGGGATGAATATGGAGAGATTATTAAGTATGTGGGGAAAATAGTAATAATACTTATAGTATTTAGCTAATCTAATACTTATAGTATTTGGCTTTCAAAGTGCTGTACTACAAATAGTTCACAGAGATATTTCAGGATTAAGTATCTGCATTTTATGGAAAGAGTAACGAAGGCTGAGAATTGAAGCCAGCTTGCTCGAAGGCCCACAGAAAATCCCAAACCTTTTGAGAACCTGTAGTGATTCTGGGATTCCATACTTTAGGCCTGAAGATTTCCTAGTTCCAGAGCTTCAAGCAACAGAAGAGGAGAAAAGCAAATTAGAATCTGGTCTGACAAATGGAGATGAGCCAATGGACCAGGATCTGTCAGATGTTCCTACCAAATGTATTTCAGCAACAGAATCGATGGAAATAAAGTGAGTTTCAGATCATTTCACAGCTGGAAGGCATTCTTGTCAGAAAAAGGTAGCTTTCTGGCAAACAGTTGCTTTACTTTTTTTTTACAAAAGTATTTTTCAGGCTGAAACTTTTTCTTGTCCTTTGGGTTAGGAAAAAGGGAAAAAAAAGGGTCCTTTTGACATGAGAGATGACAGAGCATCATTGAATTAACCCCATTTATAAAATATATATGAGAGAGAACTGGAATAAATGCAGCTAATTGAGAGACTCACCACTGTAGTATTACATTGTTATTTTGCAGAACAGTGCTAAGTGCCTTAAAGCTTTGATTGAAAAGCCATGGCTAATGACTCTGCTCAACCTTTTGCTTGTTGCCTGTGTGGCATAAAGGTATTGGGGAAGAATTTTGCTGGCACAGGCATTGCTTTGGGCTCTTCTCCATCTTTTCCTTCCCTGTCCCAGCTTTGAAATCATTGCTGTTGGGGGATGTTTGGCGTGGTATAGTGCCCGCTAATATTTCCATTCTATATTGTGATGGAAGTATTATGGACAGAGGACAGATTAGATGTTTAAACTGCATGAAACTTAGGTTTGGGGGAAACTCACACTTAACAGGAAAGACAGTAAAATATCTCAGCTGTATGAAAGCATTGGAATGTGAGCTACCTAAATTGGCTGGTGGGCTGTTATAGAGTCAAGGAGGCTTAACATTTTCTACTGCATGGAGCATAACCTGAATCATGGCTCTTAATCTGATGAACTCCTGTTCTACAAATATGTATGATGTGACCCAGAGGAGTAACCATATGAGAAGCAGGAGTAGTGGGTGAGAGAGAGCAAAGAGTTACAACAGTTGGGTAATGCAGTTACTTGGTTGATGTAGGTCCATATTCTAGCGAACATTTTGGGCCTCTTGTCTGAATAGGTTTTATAAAGCCATGGACATTGTGCCCTACAGATGCTAAACCACAACATTAATTTGTCAGCATAGCACTTGTATGAACAGTTACCTAAAACACTGTTACTACATAATTAGTTTCCTGTTACTTATCTTTAGCATGCATGCATATGTATGTGGATCAGTATGCTGTAGCTTTTACACTCCATTGGTGCTCTTGAGGGACCAAGTTGCTGTGGACTACATTTTGTACTTTGCTTGTTCACTTTTAATGTGGAATCATCTAAAATGGCCAAACTGCAGCACACATACCACAAGTGATATGGGCAGCCTCGGTGTGGCATGCAGCAGATTAGGCAGGAAGCAGAAAACAGAGCAGCAGATCAGGTGGGGGAAGAGGTTTGGAGTGGCACTTGGGGGAGGGCACAGAGCATAATTTGTGGTATGTCTGCCAAAAATGTTGGCCCAGTGCTCTAAAATGTCATTGATATTAAATGCTTTGCTTTAGATAGTACTACGAATTATTTCTTTCCTTCCCCCCTCCTTTTTTTTCTTTTTTAAATCAAACTAGAGCCAGAGTTACATACATAGATTATGAAGGACGCTCTGATGGAGACTCCATTAAAAAAATCATTAACCAAATGAAACCACGACAGTTGGTCATTGTCCATGGACCACCTGAGGCCAGTCAAGACCTTGCAGAGTCCTGCAGAGCTTTTGGTGGGAAAGACATTAAAGTTTATATGCCCAAACTTCATGAGACAGTAGATGCGACCAGTGAGACTCACATCTATCAGGTAAGATGGTGGAACTGCATGAGAATGGTAGGGTGTAGGAAAAATGTATTGACCGCAAAAAGAACTGGGATACATTTTAAAATCTCAGATTCCAGCATTTGGTCACAATAATGTTTGGGTTACTCAAGATTTTAAATTTTTTACCATGCCTGGAAATTAGTATATGACCTTATTTTCAGTTTTTTGGTAAGTGAGACATACCTGAAGGGACTCTCCTTACATTTCTCCAGACCAATGAAAGAATGTTTTGGCCTAAAGAAATATTTCAGAAAATAAAAACACCTTAAAGTAACGGATTATAAGCAAAGCTTCATATTTAACCCTAAGTAGATCTTTCTGACAAACACAAGCCGCTACTTCGTTTGTTTTTAGCAAAAAACGCATTCTGCTACATTCCAAAGTAAACAGTAAGGCACAAGCTGCATATACTTTTGTCACTCATGGTTCTGCCTCCCTTTCTCTCCAAGGAGCAGGTTGGATCTAAATAATATGATGCGTCAATGAAAGGGAAATGGCTAGTCTTTACAGATTCATGTTAACCCTGCAAAATGTGCTTTCTGCCAGATTTGCTTATGTTATTGAATCAATACTGTTTTTATTTGTGTGCAAATTAGGTCAGGCTAAAGGATTCTCTAGTCAGTTCCCTTCAGTTCTGTAAAGCTAAAGATGCTGAACTGGCTTGGATAGATGGTGTTCTGGACATGCGAGTTTCAAAAGTGGATACGGGGGTCATTTTGGAAGAAGGGGAGCTGAGGGAAGATGAAGACATGGAAATGCAAGTGGATATGCCTTCTTCAGACTCCAGTGCTATTGCACAGCAAAAAGCCATGAAGAGTTTGTTTGGTGATGATGATAAAGAAATGTGTGAGGAGAGTGAGATCATTCCTACACTGGAACCACTGCCCCCACATGAGGTAGAGAAGTTTTTTGCCTTCCTTTATCTATAAGATTTCTAGTGTTTGAATGTTATAGTTGTGGTGGTAATTGCCAGTGTATTTTTCCGGTAATTGCCAGTGTATTTTTCCAGCACATTGAATATAATATTACAGAAGTTTTTCAGGTAAGTCTTTTGAGCCAAGGGCCTTACTTGAGTTGTAAGTATGTTTAACTGCATTAAATCATGTATGGAGCTAGGGAGTCATTTCTCTGTTAAGGTTGCAAACTCTTCATAGTAGGGACAGTATCTAACTACAGGCAGTCCTTAGACTTATGACACAATTGCTTCCTGAAAACCACATCTTAAGTCAAAACGTTGTAATTTGGAACCAATTTTCTCATAAGGAATAATGCTGTAAATGGGAGATAGGGTATTGAGCCTTGGTTCAGGAACCAATTTTCACCAAAAATACCCCAGGATTTTGTACTCTGTCAATTATAGATGAGTAATATAGCTACATTTAATGTATTTATATTGTAAATAGCAATCATATTGATTTGGAAGGATTTCTTTGAGGTGATTTTGCTGGACTTTTTGAAAGGCTCTTGGCTGGACTTTTTGAAGGGTTCTTGGCTGGAGTCTTCTCAGGAGTCTTGGCTGCAGGTTTTTCTGGAGTCTTGTCTTCTTTCATAAAGAAAGTGTCCAAGGAAGTTTGGACAGATGTTCTCCAGGGACATGAGTGCGGCTTCGCATCAGATCAAGTGTTATAAAGTCAAAACTGACATCATAAAGTTGAAACAGGTTGTCAATTTATAAATGTTGCAAGTGCGAAACATTGCAAATCAAGGACTGCCTGTATGTATAATGTACCATACCTTGGACCTTGGCTTCAGATACGGCTTTTAGATGATCCTGGTGATAAATTTCTTGTGACCTGTGCACTCACCATAAATGGCTTCTGAAAGCAGTTGGCTTGCTTAAAATTACTTCTTGGATTTATTCTCACACATCTGGTGCTGTGCAAAATACTTTTCCTTGCATGTTTGTCAGCGGTAGATGTCTTTTTAGAGAGATTTTATATTCATGTATGTGTCTGACTAACAGAGGTTTGCAATGTTCTTATCCCAGTACTCTTACCTCTGCACACCAGACATTTTGCATAAGTATCAGTCTCCCATCTAACAGATGAAGAGAATTGAGACTTAGAGATTGAGATCTTGCACTGGCAGTCCCAGACATACAGCCTAGAGCTCTCATCCAAGCTGGAATGAGAGTTATGGTGGCTTTAAAGCAGTGATTCTCAACCAAGATGCAATGGTACTTTGTGGGGGGCCTTGATTTTCAGGAGTGCTACAGGGTGCCACACAGTATTAATACTATTGTGTCCAAAAATGATTAAAAAGATAAACCCAGCATTTTCATCCATAGCATTAAAAACATTCTATCTGTTTATAGTCTTGCAACAAAGAATTGCTCTATTTTTCTGTAGTCAAAGAAGAGTGAAAACTAAGAGGTGGCACTTTTTGAGGGGTGTCTCAGGGCTATCGAGGGGTGCCTCAAATCTAAAAAGGTTGAGAACCACTATTTTAAGGCATCCTTGTACACTCCTGAACCTGGACTGCTCAGAACCTTGATACGCCTTGACTCTAACTGGTGACCGCAGGGCTAAGATTTGGCAGCCGTGCAGGCTCTGCCATGGACCATAATATTGCATCTGTGGCACTGTTCCTGGTGTGATGCCTATATAGAGGTCTACAAGGTGGTCCTTGGAAGATGGCCAAAAGGCTGCCTAGTGGGGAAGATACGTCTTTGCCTAAGTGCATAGTCTAAGGGTCTTTTGTCTAGCATTGAAGAGGTGAGGTTCTTGCCTTAAGTGACTGGAAGGCAACCATAGCATCTCATTTCCTAGTAGCTTGCCCTAGTCAATGCTGCTAATACAGGTCTGGAGAGGTTAGTCAGGATGTCTTCCAAAATGATTGCACCTAGCAACTGGGAAGTAATTGAGTTATTTTAATGTCTTCTATCTGATTTGAAAAATGTTTATGAAATGTGTATCTTTAGTAACATCTTAAATACAATTCTTCTTTGCACTGGATTTAAAGGTTCTTGGACATCAATCTGTGTTCATGAATGAGCCAAGGCTGTCAGACTTCAAGCAAGTTCTTCTGCGAGAAGGAATTCAAGCTGAATTTGTCGGCGGTGTTCTTGTATGCAACAACCTAGTGGCTGTTCGCAGGGTAAGCATCTATTTTTCTTAACACCATTTGGATTATCACCAATGCCTTTTATGCTAGTAAAATCCTAAGCATCTTCTTCACTTTGTCAGGATAAAGATAATAGATTGAAACCTGCTTTTTGTTTCAGACTGAAACTGGGCGCATTGGATTGGAAGGCTGTCTCTGCCAGGACTTCTATAGAATAAGAGACCTTTTATACGAGCAGTATGCAATTGTTTAAAAGTTGCGCTACGAAGATGTCTTTACTTGAACCTTAAAAGAGAATGTGGATTTCTACCATTTTATTTTTATGGCTTTCTTTTTGTAGCTTTTGTAATTTATACAGAGAATACTAATTCTTAAGAGAAATTCCCCATCCAAAGGCAGTAAACTAATCTAAACAGGGAAGTAACTGATATCACAGCTCTATGGTACATTCCATGTTGTTAGCTTTCAAACTGTTAAGATTACTGTTACTAATGCCACTTTTTGTATATTTTTAGTTGTTTGGCAGTGTTTCCTTTCTAAACTTTCTTCCAAGAAGGGTTCAACTGATCAAACATGCACTTTGCCATGATACAGCGTATACAGTTTAGGCGTAAGAGTGCAAAATATAAAAGAAATCTGTTTTCTTGTTTTGCAAATTCAAAGAAGGGAAAAGCAGTTTTCTCATGTAAAGTTTTGTGATTCGGGTGAGGAAAGGGGCGAGATTCCTCTTGTGAACAGGAGAAGCTTTGATTTTAAAGTGAAATTTTTTGGGCCATTGAAAATCAGCCTGCAGCTTATGGTTACTTTCCCCCAAAGGTTAATATGCACCCATGTTAATGCTGTAACTGTGTCCTGTTACAGATGGATACAGTACCATACAAGGTGTTGTTGAATACAATATCTTAGTATACTGGGGCAGAAGCAGCTTTTAAAATATTGCCATAAGGTACTGTAATACAGAATATGATTTAAAAATTCTGCAAATTTATTTGCAAAACACGTGCTTTTAAATTTTCCAGGTACTATACAGATGCATACAATATCTAACTTCTAGCTGTTGAAGTATGTTATGCCAATTATAACACTTTTATTTATTTTTTTCAACAAAAAATATCTGTTTTTTGTTAATTAGGTTTAGTAATGTGATCTGAGTATGGGGGATAGGCCTTTCTTAAATCTTAATTCTTCATTCATGGGTTTAACTCATAGGTGCCAGGCTTTATAAAACTTGTTCTGTTGCTGCAGTGGGATATAGTACAGCTAGCAGTGCAAAAATTGTTAATGATGAATATAGTCTTGGATGATTTCATTTCTGGATTGAAAATGGTGATGGAATACAAACAAGGCACTAGCCTGTTCACAGAATGACATTAGTTCCAGCATCTGTTTTTGATCAGTATTTGAACTTTTTTTTTTTAAACATAACATGCCTTAAACTTGTGTTGTACTTTTTTTGTTTAAAAGGAAACCTTTTGCTGAAATACTGGCAAAATATTAGCCCTGTGGGCTGCTGATGGAACAATAGTTAGACTGTAATTTTTTGACTAGTTGGTGTTATATGGCTGATCTGCCTATTTATACTGTTTAAAAGTTGGAAAGTTAGAGTGGCTTAAACTGGGAAGAGTGTGTTCAAAAACAAAACTAAACCAAACTCTGGTACTAGTTGTAAAAATATAATGCATTTTAAAATCTTACGTTGAATAAGAAGAAATGTATTTTGCTACGCACATTCTTTACTTAAGGCAAATTGCAAAATTAATACAAAACTTGTTTCTTTTTTGCTGTAAAATTTAAGCAGTGCTTCAGAAAATATTCTTTTTGGTCATACTGGCCAGTAGAATTTCCTGTTAACACTTTGAATCTTCAACACCAATGTTGTGACACAGTGTAAATCTAAATACTTTTCAGATGGTTGTCAGCAAATGTCACTGTTAACATTGTTCTGATGTTTTTACAAAGTTCATTTGTCATATGAGTGAATTCTTACCTGGGTAAACAGACCATGGGGCTTTGACTTGGTGCGGGGGGAGTTGCATCATGTGCTGCTACACCATGCTGTGCAAATTACTAAGACCCCCCACTATATCTTTGTGGCGGGTTTTGTGGCGGGTTTTGGATTTCAGCCTCAGGAAAACTTTAAAACACACACGCTTCTCCCTCCCCGTTCACTTTAGTGAAGACGTATGAAGTTAGAAGTGTAAATTTGAAATTAAAATGTACTTGAATGCTAAAAACTTAATTAACTGGTATTTGCTTTGCTCTCATAATAGAGGCTGCGTTATACCATATGTTTCTCTGTAGATGAAATCTCACTTTGTGTTTTTAAACTGTACTTCTGTTTCTAAACAAGGAACCCATCTTCACCATTTTTTAATTGAAACACATCCCTAATTAACATTGCTCATTTAACAAAAAAAGGTGTTTTCCCCATAAATACAGCACTGCCATTTCTTTGTAGGCTTTATTTTTTCTGGTTTATGCAACTTCTCTGCTGATAATGTTTCTGTAGGCAAACTTTGCCATCCATTACCTTTTGTTGTTAACACTTTTTTTGTCTTTGTTGGATGTAATTGAGGCCAGAACATGCCTCCTTAATTGTAAGTCCTCTACATTTTGAGGATCCTCAAGATTATGCAGAATTTGGGGACTGAATCCCAGTTCCTTCATTTTTGTCTCCCACCCCTACCTTTTAGAATATGGAGGAAAATAACACACAGAAATTTTAAGTAAATGGTGTGTTTTATGATAGGGAGTGTTCAACCAGGTCACTTTATTATTCTGTATATTAATGCATCATGCCAAAGATTTCCCAGCATGCAAGGTAAGGCTGACTTTGATGTTAAATGACATCCTTGTGGGCAGACTCACCTCTTTTGTTTTGTTTTACCTCAGCTCAGGTACCGGTCGTCATAGTTGAAAACCTGTTCCATCCCCTCATGGCATTATCTAGAGCTGCCTGAGGCAAAGGATACAGGGCATCTTTTTTTAAAAGTAAGTTAATAGAGGGAGGATCTGTCCTGTGTCAAATTGGAACTGCTAGGTGTGTATGAAAGAACTTGAGAGCAGTCTTCTGGTACAACCACTCTGAAGAATTTGTATTTCTGTTACCTCTATGTTAACATAAATTACAGGCATATTCAACTTCATTTGGAATAAACAAAGCAGTCCCGTGGAGTTCTAAATAACTGTCACAAAAATTCTACCTAAAACACACTGCTGCTGTGATATAGATCAAAATTGCTTTGATATAGCATGACACATACTCTATTAATTTTCCAGTTGGAAAAGGCATTTTGCCTATGAGAACATTTGAAAGGTCAGACATAGGACTTCAAAGGGTTACAATCAGATTTCAAGATTGAAATAGCTGGAAAATTGTACAGTACACTATGGTGGTTAATCATCTTTTTTTTAAAGGAAAAAAGTCCCCTCAGATCCTTTATGCATATATATCTGTTAAAGAAATCTGCCCAGTCAGTAGAAATATTTTTTCTATTCCATAAAAATAATGGTTAAATATGTTTCTGGGATTGAGGTTCATATATCAACTTCTTTATAATGAGCTCCTAATTTTAAGTAATAGTAGTACAAAGGTGAAGCACACAGTAAGTCATAGTATAAAATCAATAAATAAGGTTTAAAAAAACCTTTGGATAAGTAAACTATAATGTAGGCTAAATGTGGAGGTCTAACGACCTTGTTATCACAGAGTAGTGTTCTGCTTAGAAAGATCTCTGAATTTAAAGATGTAAACTTTTTTTGGTTAAAATAGCATGCATCATTCTGAGGCTGTTTTATAATGGAATCTGTATAATAACGACTCCTGTTTCTGATAGATGCAGAATTGGATAATTAGCTGAGGCTGCTAGGAAACTCCCCTTCTAAAATATGTTTTGCCTGTTCCCAGTAAGGTTGAGTACGTTTGTAATGACAAGCATTTACAGTACTGGGAATCTTCTACTGTGAAGTCCGTCAGGAAAGCTATTTCATCAAGAAAACAATCAACAACTGCACAATTGGACTATGCATTGTGGTTGGTATACATCACTGATCAGTGTACATCATATTGCATGACGTCTTGTGGCCTTATTATGGAGAAAATTTGTTATATTCTCTTACTCGGATTCCTTTGGCTATAGGAGTAAACATTTTTACTTCCTTTCCCTAAAAATAAGTTGTGTAGCATTGGTGTGTAATGGCTTTCGTGGTCTACTGTCGAGGGGGCTGCATTTCAACAATGAGTAAGTGATACAGGTCTTTGGGTGCAACACCTTGATATTTATAAACAGTAGGAGAGAGACTTTGAAAAATTTATATCTAGTTTTTTGTCAAGGTATGAATGTTTATGATGTACATTTGGAGTTTCAACCGTAATGAAAGCATGGAAAACTGATATAGTTTTAATCTGTACTTTTGAAAACTTAAGTCCCCAAATCTCCATCCAGGGTTTTCATCAGACTATGCATATTAAACTAGACTTGAGCCCAGTCTAGTTTAAACTAAAATTAAACTCCATCGAGGTTTTTGTATGGACTTCTTCTCTTGAACCAGTAGTTATTTTCTTTAGAAGGGAGGGGTGAGGTGAGAAATCTGAAAACTTAAATGTAGGAGACAAGTTCAATACCTGAGCTTTAAGCAATAATAACCTGTCATTGCATAATCCTCTTGGGTGGGTCAGACTGGAGCTGTGGTTCAACAAGTGAATGAAGAGCTAAGCAACTGCCAAAGTCTAGATTGTACAGCGGGTCTAGTAAGCAAGAATGCTAATAAATAGGAGGAACTATTTCTGTTTCCTGTTCCAGTGCAAATACATTTCTGTTGGGTATTGGATTAAGTGGCACAGCAATTGCCATGTGTGGCAGCCTCTTTCTATACAAGAAAAACTAAAAGGAAAAAGTTATTTACAAAATACAGTGTACTTTTCTGTGCGTGTGTGTGGAATCTTAGTCATAGAGCATACCTTAAGATTGCGGCCAAGGCGCAGTATTTATTTTAATGTCTTATAATCAAAACTTCATCTGTGAAACTAAAGTTATATATCATCTTCAGGGTGTAAATTGATAATGTTAGCAGGCTTGGGAAGAATTTGTCATTCACTACCATTCACTGCCCTGTGTATTTTCTTTATAGCTTATAGACATTTTTTACCATTCTGTGCCTGTTGTATTTTTTAACTTTTTATACCATTGACAGAGTTGCTTCCAACATCATCTGCTCTGCAACAGAATTTATGTAAGATACCCTCATCTGCGTCTTAATCCTCTCAGAGCCCCTCAAGATCATCTATAGAGTGAAAATGCTTTGTAAACCAGACTGTTTGGTTTTTGACTGAGGGAGCACCAGACTCCAAAATTGATGGTTGCTTTCAGAGGATGTGCTTTCATAGGGAGCTCCAATGTTGTCTCCATTATTCCTAACTATGGCCTCATGAGGCAGGGAAATGGAACCCTCCCACATGGGAACAAAACTTATCAATTTGAGACCAGATGGACTGCCTGCCTTCTTCCAGCAGTAGTAACCCCAAACACTAGGATGCTGTAATATTATTGGAAGGATCATTTCATTCTTTGTCTGAGAGTAGATGTGTTTTCTGATAATGATCAAATCCCAACAATGGAGAGTATAGGGTAGCCTATATTTTTAGGTGTGGTATCTGCTGAAAGAAGCTAGAGCTTCATTAATACAGTAAAAGCTTTGTTATCCAGCATGAGTGGGGTAAGAGGGGTTTCAGTTATCTGAGAGTTGTACCCTATGCAGCCAGGACCGCAGCCAGCCCAGCAGGCAGCAGGTAAGTTTCTTTCGATCTACTTTTCTTTATCTGTGCATGGGGCAAGGATGGGCTGCAGCTGCAGGCTGGGTTCTGCTCTCTGCCTCTGTGCCTTGCTGCTGAAAGTGGCATGGCACCATGTGCCGGGCCAGTCCTGCTGCTCACCCTGAGCGTGGTCACCCCCACCGGGAATACTTTATTAAATTGCAGTTTAATAAAGTATTCCAGTTAGTGAAATGCCATTTAACACAGCTTTTACTGTACTTCTATTGAGATTTTACTTGTATAGAATGAAAAGGGACAACAGAATTGGTCATTCTGGGTAAGCTCCATTTTGATCAGCTAGGTGCTCAAGTTCTAAGGAAAGTGATCCACAATAACCAGTTGTTCTAGTAGGCACAAAACTCACTAGATACCTTAATTTAGTGGTGGACACCCTTTTTGGCAGGTGTGCCACAGCCCTGCATCAGCCCAAAGTACCACTGTGATCCCCTTCCCTGTGTCCAGTCTGCTGCTCTGCCTTCTGCTTCCTACCCTATCTGTTATTGTGCTGCCTGACCCTTCCCTGATCTGCTGCATGCCATACACAGGCTGTCTGTGCCACAGCTACTGCCATTCATTTGGTGCCTCCAATGTTGGGAGTATCAGGTTTAGGTATCTGGGGACCTCTGGCTTTTGTGCAGACAAGCTTATTTTCTTGTGAGCTCCAGAATGAAACTGGAATGGTGCTTAGCCATGGCAAAAACCTTGATGGAGTCCAATCTATTAAGCGTTCTCAGAGTGCACACCTAGTTTGCACCAACACTGAGATCAGTACAAAGTTTGGCAGCAGCAGGCACTTTTTTCCCTCAAACATGATGGGAGGAAAGAGGTGCTCACTTTTAGCAGCTTAGCTTAGCTTAGCAGTTCCTACTCATCTAGAAAATGAGACCTGGGTTCTTAGGCCCTCCTTAGACTGAGGGGATTCTAACTCCCCTCCATTTCCCAAGAGAATGTCCTCGTCACCAGGTTATCGAATAGCTCCTGAAGCAGTTGTGCTGCTAGGCAACCAGCACAGGATCACTGAATCATAAGGAGAGCAAGCATGATGAAGCATGTCCCTCTAACCTTGTGGCTAAAATACTCAGATGGAAGGGGAAGGACCTGACTTCTGGTCCCTACTCTTATATTTCTGTTTATCCAGTGACTAATGTA